GGATGTCAGAAGAGACTCTGAAACTTGCCCTTAAATGAAAAGTAGGTAAAGCAAATGGAAGAAATGACAAGATAAAAGAGCTGAACAGAAGATTTCAAAGAGCAACACGAGAAGACAAAATCAATTATTATTATGAAATGTGCAAAGACATGGAGTTAGAAAACCAAAAGGGAAGAACAGGCTCGGCATTTTCAAGCTGAAAGAACTGAAGAAAAAAATCAAACCTTGAATTGCAATATTGAAAGATTCTATGGACAAAATATTGAATGATGCAGGAAACATTGAAAGAAGATGGAAGGAATACACAAAGACACTGTACCAAAAAGAATTGGTGGATGTTCATCCATTTCAGGAGGTGGCATATGATCAAGAACTAATGGTACTGAAGGAAGAAGTGGAAGCTGCACTAAAGGAATTGGAGTCAAACAAGGCTCCAGGAATTCATGGAAACCCATTGAGATGTTTCAACAAATGGATGCCGTGCTGGAGACACTCCTTGTCTATGCCAAGAAATTTGGAAGACAGCTACCTGGCCAACTGACTGGAAAAGATCCACATTTGTACCCATTCCAAAGAAAGGTGATCCCACAGAATGTGGAAATTATTGAACAATATCATTAATATCAAATGCAAGTAAAATCTTCCTGAAGATAATTAAAAAGCAGTTGCAGCAGTATACTGACAGAAAACTTCCAGAACTGCAAGCTGGATTCAGAAGAGGACGTTGAATGGGGGATATCATTGCTGATGTCAGATGGATCTTGGCTGAAAGCAAAGTGTTCTGGTTACCTCTGTGCTGCTCTAACAGAAAATATACCACAAATGGAATGGCTTGAACAAACAGGAATTTATTCTCTTATAGTTCTGGAAGCTTTAAGTCTGAGTTCAAAGTGCCAGGCTCTAGAGGCTGGATGGAAGCCCCTCAACTTTGGACTTCAGCTCTGCCTCCTGCTCCTGGCCCACTGAAGTTGGAGGCTTTTCTTCACTCAGACAGCTGCTGGCTTCTGAGGCTGACAAACCCAAGGTCAACAAGTGAAAAGGCACAGTCCCCATGTTACCAAACAACATGGCAGGCCATTGATTCAAGTCAACTGAAAGTTCCCAAGGTCAGCAGAGCATAGCAAGCTGCTGAACGATGACACGGCTACATGCAGGATTCAAGCGTTCCATCAGCTAGAGACCATTCCCAAAGCTGCTTCTTATATAAGGGAAGCAGACCACATCCCTAAAGCAGCTATTCAGCTGCTTGTGGTAGATTCCACCATGGAGTTGATTGCCAGTCTCATCATGGGGAATAACTACCACCAGCTGCCCAGCCGCTCAACCAGGCCCAGTCAAGGTGATGCACAACCTTAACTACTACAAAGAATCCCAGGAAGATGTTTACTTGTGTTTTAATGACTGTGCAAAAGCTTTGATTTTGTAGATCATAACATTATGATTAACATTATGGATAACATTGAAAAGAATGGAAATTCCAGAACACTTGATTGTACTCATCAGGAATCTGTACATAAACCAAGAGGCTGCCATTCAAACAGAACAAAGGGATATTGCATGGTTTAAAATCAGGAAGGGAGTGGTCAGGGTTGTATCCTTTCACCATACGTATTCAGTCCGTGTGCTGAACAAATAATCTGAAAAGCTGGACTATATGAAGAAGAACATGGCATCAGCATTGGAGGAAGACTCATTAACAACTTGAGATATGCAGATGACACAACTTTGCTTGCTGAAAGTGAGAATGACTTGAAGCATTCAGTCTGCAGTATGGATAACATCTCAACATAAAACAAAAATCCTCACAACTGGACCAATAACCAGCATCACAATAAGTGGAGAAAAGATTGAAGTTGTTAAAGATTTCATATTACTTGGTTCCACAATCATCACCAATGGAAGCAGTAGTCAAGATATCAGACAATGTATTTCACTGGACAAATCTGCTGCAAAAGACCTCTTTAAAGTGCTGACAAGAAAAGATGTCTCCTTGAAGACTAAGGTGTGCCTAATCCAAGCCATGACATTTTCAATAGCCTCATATGCATGTGAGAGCTGGACAATGACTAAGGAAGACTGAAGAAGAGTTGATGTTTTTGAGTTGTGGTGTTGGCAAAGAATACTGAAAGTACCATAAAACTAACTAACTAACTCACTGCTGTCAAGTCAGATCTGACTCCTTGGGTTTCCGAGGTGATATCACTATGGAAGTAGATTGTCCAGCCTTCTTTTGGAGGAGTGGCTGGTGGGTTTGAACCTCCAGCTTTCTGGTTAGCAGTCAAATGTCTTAGGCACTACACCACCAGAGCTCCTTGAAAGTACTATGGACTTCCAGAAGAACAAACAAATCTGTCCTGGACAAAGTGCAACCAGAATACTTCTTGGAAGTGAGGATGGCCAGACTTTGTCTCACTTACCTTGGTCATGTTGTCAGAAGGGACCACTCCCTGGAGAAGTGTATCGTGCTTGGTAAAGTGGAGGGTCAGCGAAGAAGGGGAAGGCCCTCAATGAGATGGATTGACACAGTTGTTGCAGCAATTGGCTAAGGTATGGCAAGGATTGTGAGGCTGGCACAGGACTGGACAGTGTTTCCTTCTGTTGTACATAGGGTCGCTATGAGTTGGAGCCAACTCAACAGCACCTAACAACAGGCTAGTTGAAAGAAAGATAAAGAAAAACTATTCAAGAGAAGCCCAATCAGGTTATCAGACATACGATAATGTGGGACACACACACACATTGGGCATATGATTGTGTGAGAAATACACATACACACAAGTCAATTTGTTACCTACCAACAAGTCAGTCCCTGACCCATGGCAGCCCCATCCACAAGGGAATGAAATGCTGCCCAGTCCTGTGCCGTGCCCATGTTTTGGTGGAGATCAGAATGTTGTGATCCATCGTGGTTTCATTGGTTGATTTTTAGAAGTATATTGGCTGGACTTTTCTCTAGCCTGTCTTAGTCTAGAAGCTCTGCTGAAATCTTTTAAGCAACACAACCACATATAAGCCACCACTGCAAAATAGGTGAGGCACACTGGCTGGGAATTGAACCTTGTTCTCCAACACAGGAAGAGAGAGTTCTATTATTGAACCACCAGTGCTTCACACAAGTTGTGATATGTGACTTACAATGATAATTTTATAAAAGTTGACACCGGAGCTCCTGGTAGAATTAAGAAATTGAGTTATTGGTGATTGAGTTTTATTGATCTTAATTCTGTTGACCATTAAAAAAAAACTAGAACCTGATTCCAAATTGGATTATTTTAGTCATAACGTTGCACATATGTACTCCACTCCTCAGAAGGAGGGTTGGGCAATCTACTTCTGTAGTGATACCACCTCAGAAACTCAAGGAGGGGTTGCTATGAGTCAGGTCCAACTCAACTGGCAAATAACAACAGCAATAAAAACAACTCATTCTTACAACTTTATTTTGTTTTTACGTTGCTTTCCTTATAGCGCTGTCCACTGCTTAATAAAGAAGACCTTCAACTACCTTTGATCCTTCAGTCTTTGCAATTATATAAAATAACAAAGGTTTAAATAACATAATTATGAAGTACTTATGGACTATCATTTTGAATATGCTGGATTTAATTTTATTAAACAAAATACAGCATTATGTATTTTTCTTTACCAAGAAATGTTTTATAGTATAGTAATTCTGTCAGTTGTTAGTCATATAAACACAGCCAGAGAGAGAGCTTTTTATTCATGCTGTAACAGTCTTTACCAGACTTGGAAGTTCTTATGTTTAATAAAACAACTGTAGTTTTATAGTGGTAAAAAAATGCTACAGATTGATCTAATTTATTGTAATTACCAACAGAATATTTTCTATAAAATGTAACCTTAACTAGAAAGTATTGGTTTAAAATTGCAATTTGAGAAGCCTTTAAGAATAGCAAATTTGTATTTTTAAAGTCTACTTAATTTTACTTAGGTTGCTTCCAGCTGTAGTTGATCAGAAATCATTTATTTTCCCCCTGGATTCTGGGTGTAAACTTTGGCAGCCCCAAAAGCAGCACAGTCCAAGTCGACATACCTTTCCAAAAGTAAAGGTAAGAATATGGATTTGTGTTACCCTATTTTTCCTTCATCACACTTGCCACAGGTTTGGAATCAGATATTGGATAGCATTGTTATTTTTTTAACGTCAGTCTCCTCACTAGATTGTAAGCTTAATGAGGACAGTATCAGTGTCATTTTTTTCATTGCTGTGTAATGCCACAGGACCCTCAGTAAATATTTGCTGAATTAGTAAATGAAACCACCACAGTGACCTCTAAGGGTATACTCTTCCCTAGGTGAAATGTCAGTGCAGACTTCTCTGCACTCCCAAAGCAGCTTGCTCCTATCTCTGTCATGCATTGTACATGTTAAGTTGGGTTCATCTGGCCACCATCTGTGGAGCACTTCCTATGTGAGGGCTGTTAGAAGCATGCTGGGATGAATAAGACCGACTAAGTCCCTGCTCTCATAGAGCTTACATTCTAGTGGAGGATAGGCAATTGATAAGAGCATACCAGATAATAATGAAGGGCCCGATGAAAATAAAACAGAATGCTGTGATAAAGAGGGATTAACTGTCTTTAACTGAAGTTAAAGTTTTACAGTTTTGCTAAGAATCTCAGGAGGGCCACAGATGGCCCACAAGTGCAAGGTTGTAGGTCTCTGGTTTATCAAGACAATGAAATGAAAGTAGGACTGTTATAGAATGTATAGTTGCTATTTTTGTTCCAGGAAAAAAATAATGAAACTATGGCCAGAGATTTATTTACTCCAAAGAGTTTTGATTACCGGCAAGTGATCATAAAGCCAAGGAATCTGATGTGCTGAGTTCTTTGAAATGTTGGGAACTCAGGGAAGCTTCCCTGAGAAAGGGTCATGGGGTGTTCCCACCCTGATTTTACCTGCAGGGCCTTAATCCCTATTGTTGTTTTATTTCTAGTATCGGTGACATCTGCTTAAAAATGCATATCCACTGACACAAAAGATAGCTCTAATTTTACATTGTAAAGTCAATGACAAACGGTGCTGTTTTGCCAGCTGTTCTACATGCCTAGTGCACCAACATAAAAGCCTGTATTATTGAGTAGCTGTGAGATCCAACTGGGATATTGCCACCTTTAATTGCCCACTTCCAACCTTTTAAACTAGGTAAACCCCAGTTGCTCCTTTAAACTCTTTTTCCCCAAAAGTGGATGGCTGCTTTTGGAGTTCCATTTCACACCAAAAAGCTTAAATGACAAACAATTAAGAGTTGCCCAATTGTAATTAAGAATCATAATTAAGAATTGTTTATTAAGCTTCTTTTACATTTGAAAAGACACATTCGTAAACATAACTTAGAAAAGAAAGTATCACTAATCTTTTACTTTTTGATAGTTTCTTTTTTTAAAAATAAGTGGTGAATTATCAATAGATAAATTTGGGATATAAAGTCTTATATATTCTTGTATTGATGTTGTTAGATGCCATCGAGTCAATTTTGACTCCTAGTGACCCCTTGTGACAGAGTACAAGTGCCCCATAGGGTTTTCTAGGTTGTAATCTTTATAGCAGCAGATGGCCAGGTCTTTCTCCCACGGAGCCCTAGGTGAGTTCAATCTGCCAACTTTTCAGCTAGCAGCTGAGTGCTTAACCATTGCATCAGCAGGTCTCATACTATGAAGATGTAAAAGACAGAGCTAATCTTTCACCCCCATCCACTACCAACTGTTCAATCCCATGAGATACCCGATGTTACCATCCTGGTTTGTGTTCCTCCACATACTTCTCTTTGTTCAAAAGATATATACAGTCTGAGCACATATGCAGATACTTAGAGTTTGGGTTGGTTATGAATTTTTTTCACTTTTCTGAAAGAGATTTTGTTGCAACTAAGTTATCAGTCAACCCAATGGGGAGTCCTAGGGCTGGGATGGCCTTAGAGTTGTCCCAAATTGAGACAAGGAAGCTAGGCTTTGTATCAATCAGTCATTAGATGTGGCTGCTCCTGGGGTGAAGAATAGTCTTGGACTGGGCAGTTCCCTTTGGCATGGTGTAGATCCTAAGGAGGGACTTAGCTGTGAGCCAGCAGCAGCTAGCATTCCTGGCAGCTGGGTGAATGAGTGCTTCAGTTTTGAATGAAGGATCTGGGGAGCACATTACACATCCACTAGAACATTCCCCCTCCCTGACCCTTCCAGCCTACAATTGTCTGTGTCCTGTTGTTGCTAATCCCAAGCATTCTTCCTTTTCTTTTTCTCTACATCCTGCTCTCATCCTGGGAAGTAGTTCTTTTATGAAATTCTCCTCAAATTAGCTAATTTGAACCATCTATTTCCTGCCAAAACCCTAATACCCATGCAATTAATAGCCATGTCCTAGTTGTTTATGTGAAAAACCTAATTTCCCAAAACTTGTGTGATTTCACATAGCAATAAGCTCAAATAGAAACATTATTATTGTACATCCTCTGTTCCCTAGTTTAGTGACTAGCACCACCACTCCAGTTGCTTGAGCCAAAATCTTAGCATCATCCTTGATCTTTTCACCTTATTCTCAGATATTATTGATTCTACCTCTTGAGTCTCTCTTCATTCATTCTTTCCCTCAGCTGAAAACATTTGTCTTTGAATAAAAGAAATACAACAAATATCATAAAGATCACGTTAATCTGACAACATAAATATCACTTTAATCTGACAATTTCAGTGTTAAAAATATTGGAGTTTTTCTTTTCTAGTTGCCTTCACAGGCAAGTTGTGAGACATTGATTCAGTGTATTTAATAATACTGAGTGCCACTTATGCATCAGTCATTGTATCAGGCTCTGGGAGGCAGAGATGTCTGATACAGGCATGATTCCTTTCCACATGACACTTATGTAGCAGAAAATTGGGGGTGGGGGGGATGGAGTCCCAATGCTTAGGGGCACCGCTGGCCTTTAGTGGATCAGAGCCAGTGATGCTAAACTTTCTGGAGAGAGTGGAACATTCTGAAAGTGAGACATGTGGGGTGTGCAATGAGCAGGACTTTCTGTACTGTGAAGAACTGGACATCGCAACATATCACTAGCATTTACAGTATGTCTACAGAAAGCAAACATAATTGTTATTCACACAAACACCAGCTACCATGGAAGAGATACAGTATTTGTGCCATCACTATCTCAGTCTAGACTATTCCTGTTGCTCAGCTTGGGTATCTACCTGGTTCATAGGATGTAGCTCAGAATAACTTTTGGCGAAAGCAAAAGAAAGAAGCTATTCCCAAAAATGTGATGTAGGCCCTGATAACCATTCCAAAAAACAAGTTCCAAAAATTGAAATAAATGTGTAGTTTCCCAAATAGCACAATATCCAGCATATAATAAAGTGTGTTCTACTTTGGCTGTTATTATTAACCTAACTGAAATCTCTTGTTGTTGTTGTTATGTGTCGTCGAGATGTCTTCGACTCATAGCGACCCCTCCTTGGGTTTCCTTGACAGTATCACTATGGAAGTAGATTGCCCAGTCTTCCTTCCGAGAAGTGGCTGGTGGGTTTGAACCACCAACCTTCTGGTTAGCAGTCAAGTGCCTTAGGCACTTAGAACCTCAGATTTGTAAAACATGTCAACAGTTATCTAATCCATCCTACTATCTGATACTTGAGTGCCTTCAACCTCATCTTCAATAAGTAGTTATCTGCTTTGTTTTAGAAATTTCTAGTGACAAAGAACTGTCATTAGAGGTAGCTAGTTTCACTCTGTACTTTTCAGACCCTGGAAAGCTTTTAGACTCATTGTTAAGGAGTCGTTGGGTATTTCTAGTCATGTTGTTGTTGTTGTTGTTGTTGTTGTTGTTATGTGCCATCGAGTTGGACCCGACTCATAGCGACCCCTCCTTGGGTTTCTGAGGCAGTATCACTACGGAAGTAGATTGCCCCATCTTCCTTCCGAGGAGTGGCTGGTGGGTTTGTACCGCCAGCCTTCTGGTTAGCAGTCAAGTGCCTTAGGTGCTATGCTACCAGAGCTCCTATTTCTAGTCATAGGAGAGATAATCTATTTGTCTTAGATCATAGAACTAGGGGATAGCCCCCAAATAATATCTGTTCAGATGTGCCTTTTTCTCAGTCACTGGGACTTGTCCCTGTCGGACTCACTGGGATGTGTCCCTAAAAGCTTAAGATTCTTAAGGCTATACAGGATCTTAGATTCAGCTTATTCAGCCCCCTTATTTTACAGACTAGGAACCCGTGGCTCTGATAGTAGAGCTAACTTGTCCAAGGTCAGCTAGATGGTTATGACATATTTGGGCTGTAGCCCTGGTTCTTGACTCTCAGTCCAGTGGCCTTGTGACTCTACCAAGCTGCCACACCAATCCTTTGCTTCCCAATTTACTCTCTCCCACCCCATATGCTGATGGCTTTTCTTAATATTATATCTTAGCTCTAGGTCAACACCAGCCCAACTCCTCTGCTGAGCACCTTGTGTTCAAGGTGTTCATGTACTCACAATAGTCAAGGAAAAGGTTAGAAATAAAAACAACAAAAGATAAGGAGGGAGGGAGGAAGAGAAGGAGGAAAAGTTTATAGGCCAAGAGAGCTTTTGATTTTCTTGTTGTGTCTGGAAAGCTAAGTCCTAAGGCAATTTCAAAATAGAAATTCCTAAGCTGTTTAGATCAAAGGACCTATTTTGAAGTACGATATACTTGGTATGTTTTTGGGGCAAAGAAAATAAACCCATCTCATTATTTGAGAGTTATTTCCTATATTAATCCCTTGAAAAGGGTGCTTTAATAATCAAGCAAACATAAAATTACACACACACACACACATATATATATATTTATATATATATATATATATATATATTTTTTTTTTTTTTTCCCAAATAGTGTCCAGTACATGGTGAGTGCTATGTAAGCATTAGTTCTTATTATTTGTTGATAAATTGTTACCTTATAAGTGCCAGGCACTATTTTAGGCATCAGTCAAATTTTTCTGCTCTCATGGAGCTTACCCTTAGGTGGGGTGGAATAGGCATTAGGAAAACAGATAGTAAACAAATTGAAAATTAAATATGTAGAATTTAA